TAGGGAGGCACCACCTCACGGATTATCCCCTCATCATTCCAATAGCTCATAAACTCACTGGATGTGAATTCACTACCACCGTCCGTTTTGAGAGTTTTGAGCTCTTTATCGCATTGGCGCTCAACCATTGACTTAAACCGTTTGAACACTTCAAACACCTCATCCTTCCTCTTAATGAGGTAAATCCACAACTTCCTACTAAAATCATCAAGGTGATGCTTGGTCCTATGACCTGCATCCTTGCTGGAATTACTCTTGTGTTGCTTCCCGTGAACACACTCTTCACATATTTCAGCTGGAATATTAATCCTTGGCAGCCCGGACACCATACCATGTCTTTGTAACGCGTCGAGATCACGAAAGTTGAGATGACCGAGACGGTAGTGCCATAACCATTCCTCACAACTTGCAGCAGTAGCTAAGCACCTATGCTCCATAACTTTCAACTCAATCTTGAAAGTTCTATTGGCAGCCATAAGAGCCTTAAGAATCAAAACTCCATTTTGGTCCAAAACGCGCAATACTTTGTTTTCCATGTGAATTGTGTAATTCCTTTCAAGTAATTGGCCAATTCTTAAAAGGTTACACTTAATTCCAGGAATGTACAAAATGTCCTTGGTCAAGGAATGACCACCATCCCTCCTCATGATCAAGACATCACCGACACCGTCGGCCGTCAAAGTCGTATTCTACTTCGCGTGGCTTGATTGATCTTCACGAACCAATCTTTTCTACCCGTCATATGCGTCGAATAACCAGAATCCAAGTACCACTCGTCACTACCTTGGACTCCATCTCAAACCGTTACTAATGTGTTTTTCTCCGAATGCATTTTCTGCAGTTTTTCTGCACTGCAGTAGTTGCTGTCCAGCAACTTTCTACTGCTGTCCATGCCATTATTCTCCTCCGTAATCACCACAAGAAGTGTGTTATCATCATCCACTTCTTGCCTAGCAACCTTCGCTTTATCCGCATCACTCTCCTTGTGCTTGAAACGACAATCTCTTGAGAAATGTCCAAGCTTTTGACAATTGTAACATCTCTTGGTACTTTTGTCGAGCGGCTTGTAGTTGCCTTGACTACCATCCTTGGAGGTTCCTTCTCCTCTTTGTCCTCTTGAATTTTGTGGATCTTTTCCACCAAAACTCTGGAAATTCTTCTTATCTCTAGAAGACCATTTCCCTTTCGATCTCTTATTCTTCTCATTGAAACAAGCTTGCAAAGCCACTTCCGCTTTTGCCTTATCGTTTCCTCTTTCATCCATCCTTTGTTTCATGAGCTTCCAATGAACTTTGTAGTTCATCCTTCGTCATGGTCTTGAGATCCTTCGATTCTTCAATCGCAACAACAATGTTGTCGAATCTTGTCGTTAAAGAACGCAACACCTTCGACACAATGTTTTCCTCCGAAACCAACTCACTGCAAGCCTTCATTTGATTCACCAAACGCGTCACACGCGTTATGTAATCGTTGACCGTTTCCTTCTCTTCCATTTGGAGTAATTCAAACTGCCTCTTGTGAGTTTGTAACCTCACCACCTTCGCTTTGTCAACTCCCGCACACGCCTTCTCGAGTATATCCCAAGCTTTCTTCGCCTAGTCACAATCACCAACCTTTTCGAAATTGTCTTCATCAACGCAAGAATGTATCAAGAAGAGAGCCTTGTAGTCTTTCTTCTTCTCTTCTTTGTGAGTGGCTTGTTGGGCAGCTGTAGCCTCTTCAAAAAGAGGGGTAAAACTGGTAGTAATCACATTGAGCACGTCTTGGTAGCCAAACAAAACTTTCATTTGTTTGCACCATTTGTTGTAGTTCTTTGAATCAACAATGGGAAGATTGGTGGGATCTTGTCGTTTGAAACAGACATTGCAGCGAAATAGGATCGGAACCAATGCTCTTGATGCCAAATATTGGAACAAGCACAAAAACTTGTATGTGAATCAATGGAGGTGATGGATAATTTTGGTGAAATTGGAGGATTGGGGAAGATGAAGTTTAGAGAGAATAGATATTAATTGAGAGGGTAAAAAACTCATACAACATTTTTTCATTCAACATGTTATAAAATGTATATATAGTGCCTACTAACACCTAACAAAGTAACAAATAAAAGCTAAACAACACCGTCTAAAAACAGAAGTATTTTTCTAGTTTTTCCTGCAGCATTCGGGCAACTTTTCAAATAATTTTAAATCATAGTTATATTGCATTTGACTTATATAACATCCAACATATAACACAAATGAATTTGTGAATTATTGTTGATGAAATATATACTAAAAAATTTGAAGATACAATTGATGTCGTATGCAGTTGTTTTTTTTATAACAAATAGACCATCAACGTTGCTTATCATCTTGTTCAACATGAAAAGATAAAATTATTCATTAAGATAGACCTTCATTTCATTCGAGAAAAATACATAGTAAATTAATAATTATAACCTAGATATTAGCTGATTTGTGTGTTAATAAAGAATTTATCAACACACCAATTCAATAAACTTATTTGTAAAATTAAAGTAATATATATTTATTCACCAACTTGAATGGAGTAACGTAAAAAATAATATTCATAATTGTTTATCCTAGTAGTAATCGTCTAATTAATCAAGTCACTAGATTAAAAATAGTCTATTTTATAAAATGGTGTCTCTACTATTTTCACAATTTTAAAATACAACAATAATATTTTTTACATATATTTTATTCTTTTCATTTTCATTTATAGCATAACCATCAAATTAGTATAAACATATGCTAGTGCATACAATAAGCTACTTCAAGACTAATTTGCTGATGACTATTTTATAATTTATTTTTCTTGAAAACAATTATTTTTGGCATTAGATAAAAGTTACAAAAATGTTATCCTATATTAAAATCATACACCTACTAAGTATTTTAATGTTTATTTATATGATGAAAAGTAAAATATTATAATAATATATTTTTTAAAATAATTTTTTTTTTAATTTTTAAATTAAATAATATCGACATAAAATTGTGTGATTAATCAACTTCATAATTTTATTAACCAACCTTATATATTGTATTAATCAACTTTATTGACTGTTAAAAATTATTCTTAATATCTGAACGCGTATTAATCAACTTCATAACTTAATTAACCAACATTTTATAATTCATTAACCAATATTGATTTATTGCTAAAAATTATTTTTAACATCTGAACGTTTATTAACCAATTTTATAACTTTATTAACCAACTTTTTACATTTCATTAACCAATATTAATTTATTGCTAAAAATTATCTTTTAACATCTGAACGTTTATTAATCAACTTCATCACTTTATTAACCAACTTTTTACATTTCATTAACCAACTTTATTTTATTATTTTAAAGACTCTGTTCACGCTGTTCATGAACTGTTCACGTATTATAAATATTCTTTTTTATTTATTAAAAAATAAAAATATTATTTACTATATAAATACAATTAACAGTTTGATGTAAATATTTTATGTAAAAAATAAGTGTAAGAATAACCTAACTCATAAAATAAATATATTATTTTATTGTTTTAGTATTTTATAATAGAATAGATCAATTTTGTTATTTTACTCAAATAAGAGAATAAAAAAATGATGAAAAATGATGGAAATAAATATAATGCATTTCTTCGAGTTCTGCTACATTTCATTTTTTTAATAATTAATTCAAACAATAGAACATTAGTTTATATCATTTCATTGCATTCTATTTCATTTCATTCTATTAATTTAAATATAGCCTAGACATCTTAAACATAATAAGATCTTTGATGAATATTCGGTCATATTGATTCACTTAAAAGTTAACAAAAGTGGATTAACTTGACTAAGAGAAATAATATTAAGAGACTAAATAATAATTTTTATTAAATAAATGGTCAATATCAAATACAAAATTAAGTTAAGGATACTCAATTCAATTAAGATTAATAACTACTTCCCATCCCACTCTTTCGGTCCTAAGTTATAAGTTATTTTATCAAAAAAAAAATTTGTCTCAAATATTTATTATTATTTATTCTTTTAATATTAGTGTCTGCCCCTATAATCTATAGATATATAAGTGTCTGTATCCCTATCTGTTATCCGCATTTTTAATAAAAATAAATGTATCAAGTATAAAATATTATAATATTTTTTAAGTTTTTAAAAATATTAAAAAATTGTTAAAAAAATTTATTGTTAAATTATGAAATAAATGACCATTTATATTAAATATGTAGTAATTTAAAATTATTGTTTTTTTTTTAATTTTATTAATATTTATTTTTATATAATAATATAAATTAGAATATATAAATATATATTGTGCATATTTCCGCATTCATCTCCGCTAATTTAAATGAGTAATTATTCGAACTCGTGTCTGTATTTATTTTAGCAGATTTTACCCTATCTATTGTGAATAATTTTATAAATACCTATTAGAGATGAGTATAGATGATTAGAGAAATTTGTGACCTTAAATAAAAGATAAACATAAAACTAAAAATTAAATTAAAGAATGGATAGTCAACTACATTGTGCTTTTACATGTTAAAATAGATTACAACACTTACAAGGAGGTTTAGGTATTTTGATGTGAAAATGTTTACCCTAAACAACAATACAAAAGAAACTTCCAATGCTTATAGTCCCCTCTTTATTCATTTCCCAAAACAAATGGTCCCTTCCTTCCTAATCCTTAGTATCAATTAAAAATGGTCCTAAACCCCCAATTTCATTGCTCATCACAATTACACATAGCATTGATGTGCATCAACTCCCCTCCTCCAACCTACTTGAAAGCTCCCTTTCTACCACCACCCTCTTTCTCTCTTCCTTTCCATCTAACCCTCCAAAGCCTCTAGAATCCTCTTCTTCTAAAGCACAATCATTACTTCAAAATAGTCCCCTAAAAAAAGTGTCTTTTTGGAAAGAGGAATTAAAGTAAGCATAACATACATAACCCATTTTTCTTAACTTTGTGGCCTCAAATTGTGCAATAATGGGTTGCTCAGCTTCAAAAACAACAACCATAGTTGCAAACAAGAATCCAGAAGATCCAACAACACCTTCTGTCTCTTTTCAATCTTCATCTTCCTCAACTTCTTCATTCTCCCCTTCTTATGCTTCTCAATACTTCAATTCTTCACCACCTGTTAGAAAAGCTTTGTCACTAACAATGCCTCTTATCCATCACCCTCCAACCAAAAAGGGTGACACTCACCATCTTGTTTCCTTAACCTCCACCACCTATGGTTCTCTTCTCTTAATTGACCAAAAAGTTCCTAACTTTACGTCTATTGAACAACCCCATCTCACCAAAACTTCTCAAAACGATGAAGAACAATCACTTTCTCCGGATTCTGTTATCAACACTTGGGAACTCATGGATGGTTTGGATGAACATGAAGATTCTATTGTTCATAAAGCTTTAATCTTTGATAACCCAGTGAGTTTCTCAGATAAACACAGTTCATGCAGGTACACAGCATTTGATGGGTCTGCAAAAAAGAATCTTCTTGATTCATTTGAATCACTGAAAGCTTCGGAAGCGGTAATGGAAGAAAAAAGTTCCAAATCTTTTGTTAAGAAACCACTTTGGAAGCATTTATCAGAAGAAGCTTTGTTAGCTAAGTTGGATCCAAGTGTTGCTTGGAGTTACAGAAGAGCATTATCTTCAAGACAACTAGGTTGCAACAACAACAATAACCGGTTAAGAAACGTAAGATCAATGGAATCAAGTCCTATGAACCCTTGTTCTTCTTTGTTTGGTAAAAGCTTGTGTCTTTTACCAGGAACAGAAGACAGAATAGTTGTTTACAGCACAAGTTTGCGAGGGATTCGAAAGACTTACGAAGATTGTTGTTCGGTGAGGATGATTTTGAGAGGATTTAGAGTTACGGTCGATGAAAGAGACATTTCTATGGATTCATCTTACAGAAAGGAGTTACAGAATGCACTTGGTGGAAAATCAGTAGTGACATTGCCACAGGTTTTTATCAGAGGCAAACACGTTGGAAATGCAGAGGATTTGAGACAATTGAATGAATCCGGTGAATTGGCGAAACTATTGAGTGGTTTTCCAACTCAAGATCTTTGGTTTGTTTGTGATAAATGTGGAGATGCAAGGTTTGTGCCTTGTGATAATTGCAATGGTAGCAGGAAAGTGTTTGAGGAAGAACAAGGGAAGTTGAAAAGGTGTGTTCATTGTAATGAGAATGGATTGATAAGATGCACAAGCTGTTGTTCATGAATCAGTGATGATTAAGATTACTGATTGATGTTGTCTTTTTATTGTTGTTATTGTTTTTCTTGGGTTGAGTTTGGTATTATGATAAATTTGGCAGCTACTATTAATGATTATGCATATTTCCATTTGATTCTTAGATTTTAGTCATTTAGTTAGTTTTTGTCTTAACCTTGTTCATAGAAATATGTGGCCGGAAATCTAAAAAGTGGTTTGAATCCGAAACCTTTCAAGTTTGTGTGTTATGGTGATTATTGTTATTATGTCTATAGATATAGACAGTACAACTGTAAAGACTAATCCATCGAGATAATGAAGATTACAATTGGCAGCAAAACAAAACTCTGCCTGTTTGAGATCAACGGCAAAGACTAATCATGCAAGTCAGAATCGAGGCGAGTACATGGGTAATTTCTAATTTCATGTGTATGGAATTCTGAAAAAACATCAGTTATATATCTGTTTTATGCAATTGTGAATGAGGCTAAGAAAGTGACGATAAAAAACTGAAACACATGATTTATAATATCAGTTGTAAAAGAAACAAAAGTTGCAATTTGAGGTGTTACTTGAGCATTTGTGTTTGGTCATTTTCAGCCAAAATAGAAAATTTATTAGGACGGTCAGTATCATAAGATGGCCCATTTTGCTTTATCGTAGTACAGTTTTTCACGTTGAGCCAGCACATATATGTGTCTGCCACTTTCGTCTTGTTTATGTGATGATAATTTACTGTGTCCTAGGCAAGGTTAAATATATAAGGACACAATTATTTCATAGCAAAAACAAAGGACACTATTGCCTCCAACTATATGACATTCACATTTCCACATGGTACTACAGACCATGCTAATAAATGTTTTATGGGTTCAATGCTCTGGAGTGAGGTTCATAATAATGTTTCCATTTGCAAGATCAAGAAATAATAAATGGTAAGGGAAAAGCTGCATGTGATGGGCTTAAAAGTTATGCATGAAAACAAATTTATAATCTGATACATTTAAAAGCAATGTATGGGAAAAAATCTGATAGATTTAAAAGCAATGTAAAAAGAACAAATTTATAATCGGATACATTTAAAAGCAGTGTATAAAACCATATAATATGTCTGATATTATATTTATTTTATAGGTTTTATTAACTGTGACTCGTTATGAAGAGAAAGAAGATACACTAAGTCAAAATTTCAAATGGGTTTTGGGCCTGTTTGTTGTGAATTGAGTAGGGAGTGCGGCAGCCCTAGGCCCCTCCCCATATTTAAGAATATTAATTAATATATTTTTGAAAAATAAGCGTTTGTGTCTACGTTAGTATCGAAACACCTGCAAAGACACGTGTGATTATATTTAATTAATTTATTTATTTTTAAATTATTATTAATGTTGCAGTATCGATGTCTAGGTCGTCTTCAGAGTGTCTATACTTCATAGGTTTTATATATATATATATATATATATATATATATATATATATATATATATATATATATATATATATATATATATATATATATATATATATATATATATATATATATATATATATATATATATATATATATATATATATATATATATATATATATATATATATATATATAAAACAGTATGACCTTAATTCATATGATAAAAATCAAGAGAATCGTAGCTTCTTAAATCTTTCAGTATCACCAATCGACTCCAAGCCTTTGTGCGTAGCAATCACCCTTTGATCCTACTGATTCCTTGAACAATGAATTGTCGGAAGATTTGAGAAGAACTCCGACTTGTCAGTAGCCTTCCACACAATCACTACCAAGAAAATCTGGAGAGAAAAACCTCCTTATTTTCACTGGAATTTTTTAGCACCAATGACAACAACATCAATCTTGCAAACTACCTTAAAATCTCAATCAAATCTTCAAGAACAATTAGTTTTAATACGACATCTCCCTCAAACAATTACAAATCTCTCAGGATCAAGATCTAAAATCAAAATTGAGGTTGAAGATGTAAGAGTTTCGCTGCAAGAGTTTTGAATTTTCACCAACATGAAGTTTGTTGGTTTCACAAAAAATCACAATGTTGATTATGACTTCCTCTTTTATTAAAACTGATGAAAAGTTAATTTTATACATGTTTGAGATTAAGCACAGAATGAATGAAATTTTTTAGTTAGATTCAAATCAAGAGCATTTTATGATTTGAGTCAAATGAGTAAGTGAAGTGCAACAAGAAAGAAAACTGATTTTGACCCATTTCTCAACTAATTCGAATCAAGAGCAAAGTCTGATTCGAATCAGAAACCTCGTGATTCGAATCAAATCAAATAGTGCCAAAAGAGAAATATGAACAAAATTGTTTGATTCAAATAAGATGTATAGTCTATTTCGAATCAAATCAAGCAGAGGTGTGTTTACTAGTATTTTTGGTAAACAATAATGAGTTTAAAAATTCTGTGAGATTAACTCGAAAAATCTCCAAAGTAATTTGTGCAAATAATTTGTGTGAACACACATGCATGTGAATTGAATGCAGTCGTCGCGTGAACGATAACAGCGTAGAAAAAGACTTTAAATGAAGTTAAGTTGTGATAAAGGACAAGGTAAAATGCAATAAATAACATTAAACAAAGCAAAAGTACAAATAAATGTTCCATTCAAGGAAACAAAAAATTGATGAAAATATTGGACGCAGACACATACATGTTTCCCTCAATTGTTCCTCTCTTTGATTCGGGTACTCCAGTAGTATGGAGAGTATGTATGAAATTTTGTGATCTTTGATCCCATGTATGAGTTTGCTATTTATTCTATTTACATAGTAATTGTCGACGACAGTTATGACCACTAGGGAACATTGCATTCACTCCACGTTCAATCTTAAGACTTCCACTAGCGTGCTCATGTGTCATCCACAACTCTATTTGCTTACAATCCATGTTGAGTTATAACTACTTCCAACTCCCTCACAAACCCCTGATGGTAACCGTTCCAACATGCTCTCGATGTTGCCTACCAAGGACTCTGGACTTGTAAATTTTCTAAGTCTTGCAACCTTACAGGGTTCAGACGATTGGTCCTCTTGTTGAAATAAAAGGTCATTGTTAACTATCCTTTTCGAGATTCTGAACATGTTTCCAACTGGTCCTGGTCTTGTGGATTCATCCCTGAGATTCCTCCAAATCCATGTTTCCTTGCGTCGACATCCTGGTTGATCCCTTGTCATTAGTTTGTCAATGATTTATCATTAATGCTCTTTAAGACACTTCATTAATGTTGTCTCTTAGCACGTGTATTTTCATTGACATTCTTTGTTGACTTTCTACTAGCTAAAAAATCCAAGTGTAATAAGGTTACCCAGATCATTTTGATTCAAATCAACTATAAAGTCTGATTCGAATCGCAAAGTTGTCTGATTCGAATCAAGTTAAAATTTTGATTTAAATCATAGTGCTTGAAAATTTTTAATTGCCTCTGCCCAATTTGATTTGAGTTATAATATGTACATGATTCGAATCAAGTACACAAAATCTCAATTTTTCATGATTTTCATAATACTTTCGTATTTTTCTTTGCACCTAACTTGAATCAATAACACACATGGTTCTGATTCCACTAACTCATGCAATTGAGTAAAATCATCATGATCAAGTTCAAACATAATTATTGGTTTATGCATGTTGTCGTAACCCGAAATTTGACCTCCTCTTTTGCCTTTTGCATAAGCATGTGCATTCGCATCGCTGGCATACACATTCGCCTTTTTTTCACTATGTTTTTGTTACAGGAATATTCAGGTTTTCCAAGCTCGATTAATCACATCTTCACAAGGTCATCACTTTATCATTACAAGCACAAAACAACGGTTTTTATGCCTATTCATCAAAGCAAAAGGTCAAAAATCAGAGCCATGACCACAACACATTTTTTCAAGCAAATTGGGAAACATTTGGTCTGGTTAATCGATTAACCATTTGCTAGTACAAATGGGTTAATCGATTAACCCTTTTAAAAATGCAGATTCTGTTGCATTTTCATGACAACAACTTTTCCTCTACTATTTTGGGGTCTACTTGGTTCTAGCATTGTGTGGAACATTCTAGACATTTCAAGACCTTTCTAAATACTTAAAGACATTTATTCCAATACATCATTACCAATTGAGAGTACCATGTAAATTCATTTGCAAGCATGAGAACCCTTTGATTTGAACTTGCATTGGGATTGCTACCGAGTCAACTACCTAACTAACTGAGTTAACTTCAAACTCAGTAAGTTGAGTCCAACTAACTCCAACGCAAGTTTCAAAGCTAGTTCCAAAGCACATTCCAAACCTAGCAACTCCAAACCTCTTTTCTATATAAACAAAGGTCCACCATTTCACAAAGGACCCTCAATCATTTTCTTAATTTCTTCTCTCTTCACTCTCAATTTTCTCACATTCTCTCTGAACTTTCTGCAACTTTTTCTCACATTCATCTTCACTTTCTTCCCAAACCACACTAGAGCTCAATTTCCCCATTAAAGAGTAACAACTTCTACATTTGAAGTGTTTTTCTCTTGAGCTTAAGCATCATCATCTTGTAATTCTACTTGGTTTTCTGGAGTTTTATTGGCTTTTTCTTCATCACAAGTGATTATCTAAAGTTCCTTCGGTGCAAATTCGATTTTAGAGCTTTCGTCGCATTTTGCTCAGTTTTGATACGATTCGGCTACAAGTGAAGATTCCTCTGGTTTTCTTTGATTATCTTCACCATAATTTACTTGCAACAACATCCAAGGCAAATCTCCACCTTGTAGTTTGAAATTTCTCACTCATTTTACTGTTTCGATCATTTTCGTATCGTTTGCGATGTAGTTTTAGTAATTTTTGTGTAAAAATTGATTATGCCATTTCTTGATCCTTGATCTTGATGAGTTAATTGATTCAATTGATGATTATTTGATGTTTTTGTACTTGATTTTCGTGCATAAATGTTTGCCCTAGCATGTAAGTGATTGCACAAATCATAAGTGGCCAATAGTA